ATCGATATGCCAAACACTTCATCACAGTCCATCCGTTTTTAGCGGATTCAACATGTCATGCTGATCCCATTTCGTCGTAGTGTTTTTGGATTCATCCAATGCAGTGTGCACCATTTTCTCTCTATTCTGAAGAAGGTACACTCTTAACGTTGTAAGCTTAACGGAATTTTGCTGCCAATCCAGCCCTTTTGTTTTTATAAATCTTCACATCCTGCGTTTCTATGATAATAGATCTCCGAAATGCAGAAACAATATAAACCAATACGACTATACCGAGCTCTGAAGTTAAGGTGCATCTGATCTTGCGATTGTTTTTTCTCCTTATTCTATGAAATGTTTCAGAAAAGCGACAGGCTCCTCCGAATACTTTTTCAAAACAGTTACAGCTTTTGCTCGACTACTCCATCTAGATTTTACAGCTAATATTTATTTACACTGGTAACTTGAATCAAGACATTGCAGCAATATTTAGATGAGAAACGAATGAGAATTGCCGGTCCATTGTATAAAAAATGTAACAGAATGAACCGTCGCCAACTTCAGGGAATACTTTGTGTATGGTACATATGTAGCTTCGGTTTGATTTCGCAGATATCACTACACACCCGTTAGGTTGCCCGCCATAACAGCATTATTGTCATGTGCCTGGCCACGGCAGTCATTAGTCTGAGTTCCATTCTTCTCTGGTTCTTCCGAAACCAGTCCAGAAATCTCCGCTGCATTTGTGCTGTTTGTCTCAATGAAGCTGCTAAACTATTCTTATACCGCCATTTCATTGTAAATTATCGGATCCGTGTGAGATGTATCAACAGTGCTATCAAAAATAGCAAACACGGTTGCTTTGATTGACCTGCACTTTGCTTTTCTTGCTCACCTGCTTTACCAAGATGTTCACTAATTCATTTTGAACGTGTGGCGACAAAGAAAAGCGTGTTTTCCTTCCCTGCTGAACTGTCACCAAATGTCCAAGAAGAACAGTTTCATACTTGGCCAACTAATGTGCAACTTTTGCGAAATTCCCTCTATTTTCCTTGCTTCCTTCTTCATGCTGGATGCCTTCTCGGTGACCACCCAGTGTCATGGTTTGTTTGGCGAGAAACCTGACGAAATCAAGTATTCTAACCAGAAGTTCACGCCACCTCTTTTCGACAATTGCTGACTACATATTGTCAACTGCTTTTTCTTCAACTACCCGGATCGCTATCACCTTGCGGTTAGCAATGCCTGGGCATGTGATTTACTAGATTCATGTTCACATGCACCTGGATTTAGTTTCCACCAGTTTCTGAAAACCATATCAGTCGAAAACTAGACTTTCCGTTGAAAACCTTCTGCGGCTGCAACCAAGTGGGGCTTCTTTTGAAGGAGAACACACCAACCATGTTCTCAACTTTCGCTCATCGCTTCGCAAATCTCGCAAAACCAGTTCGTTATTAGCTGCTTATAGTCAGACATGTATTGGTTCCAGGTAGCACCACTTACTTAATTCACGATCGACGTACTGCATGACTCGATACGAGCCGGACTATCACAGCGAGATTTTCATGAACAACCTTAACAACCCACTGGCAGATATCCATAAAATCGGTTGATGTGCGTGTTATCTTGCCAAAGTGTGAGTGTATTTCCAACTCTTCCATTTCGCACACATCTTCTGATCAGCATTACAAACACTTCCCACTTCATGCATGATGACAATACCGTTTTCTTTTGCTCGGATATCAACGTTTGCAGCCTCAATTCCACCTTTCATCTCAGTACAATTATCGTCCTTGGTTTTTACCACTCCGAGCATGGAAGAAGTTTTGATGAATTTGCACTTGGTATCGAACAGCATCTGCACTAGAAGTGCCACCCGGGCCGGACTGCCCCCCGCCACCTCTATGCTACGCCTCTGGATAAAGATCCACGTGGGAACAGTTTTTCCTGCGGCTGCAAGCTGCTCTTCGAAGTTTCGGCGCTTTTGTGTGTTAGCGTCGTTACAGAGATTTCGATGTCTCTTGTACACTATGTAATCTTCGTCAGAGCCAGACAATACAAATTTTTTCCATAGTCTGCGTTGCCGTCAAGCCATTTTGTGGAACCAATGTGGCTGGACTTGTCCGACTTTGGAGAATTGAAGGGAACAAATCGGGCGCACAACGAGTTTGCTCCCACTTTAGTGATAGTCCAACAAGTTTCAAAATGAATCCTTTGGCAGCGACCAGTCCATCTGGCAAGCGGCTCGAGTGTGGCCATTAAAGTCTGCCTTCTGATAGTTGTTTGTTAGGCCCAGCAAAGAAGAACACGGCATAAGGAGCAGCAGCTTCAAGCTGGCTATGATCATCGAGTTGTCACTCGCACCCAGCGGCTCTATGACCTGATTCTCTTGCATACTTTGCCCCCAACTGGCCAATAGCAGGTCCAAGCACGATAAACTTGAGCGCGCGATTTTGCGATTCGATCAGTTGATGTGCTGCATGGCCACATTTTCAAATACCATTCAGCGAACTCCCTCTTGACTTCACAATGACCAGGGAGAAGTTCGTCCTCAGACCACTGCAGTCGGGGTAAGTTGAAATCGCCCAGGAGCAAGAAGTGCGGACGACACATGTGTTTGCGGACATGCGGCAACCAGTCCAAACAGTGGCTCAGGGGACAGCGGTCGACCATCCCCACGAGTAGATCGTAGCGTCTGAGGTGTGCCGAGCATCATAACTACTCACAAAGGCCATCAGCGGTTCAGTAGATAATCACGAATTCCTAGTACGAAACCGTATATTTGGCAGCACGCCACCGCGGTTATTCGCTCGTCTATCACGGTGAAAGTACGAGAAACCAATGATTTCTACTTCTTGGGTAGTTATGTCGGAATCTAATCAGGTCTCAGGTCGTCAGGTGAAGAATTCGCTTTTAGGCACCCCTGAAGAATGCATTTTAAGCCACCGTGAGGTTAGGAGATGGCACAGTTCATCACATTCCTACAACAGACTGCAACTTTAAGTGAACGCTACAGGAAGGCCGCGGTAGGAAATGCTTGGCGCGTTTGAACCATTAATAATCTATTGATCCGGATCCGCGGAAGAATCCGCGTAACTACCCGAAAACTTACTATGCGGAGATTTGTATCCACATCATCCGTGCGCCGCTTTAATCCAATCATCGCAAACTTGAGGGAAATCAGTGACTCGACTGGTGACTTTCCCAGGCGCAGTATTTCTGTATATACTACCATGTTCAAAAAGAAACAGAGATTTTGAGATAATGCGCCACTTGGCAGAGGGAGCGCTCTGTGGCTACTGATGGCACGTAGAATCACTTTTAGCTAATAAACTGCCAATTTCCGCGTCTTTCACTGACAGTTACTAGTATTAGCATCAGTCTAACGAATGCATAGAGCCAAACAAAACCATAGCAATCTGTTATGACTGCTTTTCGACGCGCCACGTGGATAACGGACTTGTACGACTCCTAGTTCAATGAACGGACTTGACAGAATGGTACACCGCAGGAATAAGTTAGCCGATAGAATTCGAATTCCCACACTAGGAGAATTAGACGCAACACGGTTCTACACACACGTTGAGCAGTTTCCTAATCGATTGCAGACTACCCAACCCGGAAAAGAGTAACAAGGACAGGCCTTTCGACCCAGGCACTTTTACTAGCCAGGTAAGGACGATTACAGCGCAGTCCAGTTTTGCTTATATAGCGCGATTGTCAAATAGGTGAATTTTTCACGTAGAATGGTTTATGGAAAACCTGGAAGCAAGGCCAAAGCAAGTGAATTGGCATTATGTGCATAAGCTAACGGAACCTGTCGAAAAGTGAATGTCGGTAGATGCGGAGACTGGACTGGAAAAGTGAATGTTTCTTAGGTACAACGAAGGCGGAATGTTTCATGGTTGCGGAGGTTGGCCGGAAACAGGAATGTTTCTGAGGTACAAAGGCTGATCGACATGTGAATGTTTCACGAGTTGGAAGGCTGATCGAAGCATGTGCACTGGTCTGAATGCGAGTCTCATTACCTTCCGTGGTTTCAGCTTGCGAACTTGTGGGGATGTTGGGTCCCCAAAACACAAACACAGGAAGAAAACAGGTTTAATCACCGCATCGTCGACATGGCGCGTTAGCTGAATGTGAGAAACACGCTTTAACTACAGTGCCCAAAGAAGAACGGAGCACTTTTTTTAGTTGGCATGTCATTTTTACTCCGACCCCACACTCTCGCAACATATCCATGTGTACAATCTGCAAGTCTGCGGTCATAATTTGTTTCAATATATTAGTTGTGTTATTCTGATACATGCTTGTTGCGTCTAGTTGATCATGCCTTGAATGGTATACCACGTTCTATCGACAATAAACTCAAGTATTTATTTCTGTTTGGTTGGTGGAACCTGTTTATCTATTTATTTATCACCGTGAGTGAGAACCACCACGGAATCCTGCGACTGCTAAGGAATCATGGGTGATATGCGCTGCGCTATCCACTTGGCTTCGACTGGAGCCTCTGGACTCATTGGTTGGGGCGCCAGAGACGATGAGCACGTTAGGTTGGGTACTCTGGTTGACATGGCGAAGGGCTGACCTCTGTGGTGCTTGTGTTATTAGTTTCTTTGTCACCGACGTCCCGCTTAGCCTTTTATTTAAACCAAGCTTTCATCCCTGATGCATAACAGGAACAAGACATAGGATGATATGACATTTGTTGCTGTCTTTTCCTATTTTTTGACCGCCTGCCTGAGTTGCATTGCAACACAAAAGCCGAAGGGTTTTTTCACCTCTGACAAACGTGTTGCATGTTGTTGGGTAACTATTCAATCCTTGCGGTCACTAGAGAGTGTTGATCTGCTTGGTCGTGATTTAAGCTTCTCCACTTTAATCACGTACGCTGTGCTACTTTGATACGAGTCTCATCGCGAACCAAGGATGTCGAATGGTGCTGCAACTTCTCTTATCGATTTGTCAACACTTAGTATGCATCTCTTGACCACCTACAATCTTCCTGCTTCTTTCAGTGGAATATTGCGCCCGGGCTTGAATGCAATCATGGGACCAACTGGAAGTGGGAAGTCATCGTGAGTCCGCCCCATGTGACAGCCTTTACGTTAAGTTAATGAAATCTATCTCCCTTTAAATGTGACAGTGTTAGTGCCTGACAGCGTATTTTACCGAACATAAGCCCATCCATAGATAAGCGACAGCATAACGGCAACATCAAATTGACATGCATCAAGACCAGAAATCAGTTAAGGGTTATGAAGTCTTTTTGGTACACTCTCGTCAGACTCAAACTTTTACCTAACGTTGATTGTGTGGGGTAAGCGTCAAATCAGGTTGGCATTTATTTCTAAGGAGTTTGAACGGTCAAAATCGATGACTAATGGTGGTTACAGATGGCCGGAAAATTATGCCGAAGGAACATTATTACACAAGCTTATGAAGTCTTTTTGGTACACTCTCGTCAGACTCAAACTTTTACCTAACGTTGATTGTGTGGGGTAAGCGTCAAATCAGGTTGGCATTTATTTCTAAGGAGTTTGAACGGTCAAAATCGATGACTAATGGTGGCTACAGATGGCCGGAAAATTATGCCGAAGGAACATTATTACACAAGCTTCAGCCGTCTAACGTAAGTAGATAAGGTCACAAAGAAGAAACTAAGTAACCACGTCAGTCGGCCACGGTAGTAGTACCGGCCGTATAAAATCGTTTTGATACACCTAGTTCCGGCTTCAGATGGTGGATGTAAATAGCCTCGGCAATAGACAAGAGCTGCTTTCGGAATCCTTGCGAGAAGGGTTCAAGTAGTGAGTAGATGACTAGTATTTCTCTGATGCCGTATGGCCACATTCGAGGAAGTGCAACACGATTGAGCTGTTAGGACCTCATTTCGCCTTTGTAAAACCATGCCGGGATGTGCTCGCGTATCCTCTGCGATAGGCATATCGCGAGCACATCCGATTCATATGGCCGATACTACTACCGTGGCCTCCTCCTCCTTTGTGAACTTATCTATTTACTTTAGACCGCTGAGGCTTGTGTACTAATATTCCGTTGGTGCAATTTTCCGGCCATCTGTAGCCGCCTTTACTCATCCATTTTGACCGTTCAAACAGCATAGAAATCAATTCCAGCCCTATTTAACGCTTACCCCACACAATCAGCGTTAGGTAAACGTTTGGGTTTGACGAGAGTTTACCGAAAAGAATTTTTAACCCTTAACTGATTTCTGGTCTTGATTCATGTGGATGAAATTGAAATAGTTGCTTCGCTGAAGAACAGTATTGTCCGTGATTCGTTGAATATCAAATTTGTCCACAATCGTAACTCCCTATATCAGCCGACTCCCCAAAAAACAGCGAAAAACGGAAACAAAATTGTCTCCCCACGATTTTGGCTTCATCACTACCTGCTCTTACTTGAGTGAGTTCAAACGAAATCTGCTCTACTATTGGCCGGTTGTGGTGACCGTAATGTTGTAATCACGGTTAATGGGGCGTACGGCCGTCAAGTTACATGGGACAAGTAAGACCGCCGACAATATAGAGTAAGGTGATAACATGTCAGACAGGTTGCCTCACATAGTTGGGGGTTTCATGCAGTGGGTGAGAGCGAAGTTCACGGTCAGGGGTGCGGGACCGCGTTGTACTTTTAAGGCACCGGATCGCCTGGCATAATGTTTAAAAGCTTTTGATTCGATGATGCCATCCGTCACGAAGGTCACATATGCAGTACACCGAGAATTTTCGTTACAACAGTAACGTGTTCAGTTATAGGCACTTTAAATCCCCGTCTAGAATACCATCCTTCACTAGCGCGTGGTGCTAGGGGAGATGAGAGCAGTGGTGGGCGGTGAACTCCTGGGTGGATTTTGCATGTAACTATTTTTCTAATTTCGGATAGTCTTTTTATAAGCCCACTGCAGTAACGAAAATTGTCCAAAAATTATCGGCTTTTATTCGGCAGTATACGGTATGTGTTATTGTTGGCGGTTAATTGCAGCTTACCTACTGGTTATGGCGCGAAACAACTATCGGTAACGAAGTTAGCAGAACTGGTTGGCACCCATGCTCTGGTTAAATCAGTCGGTGTTCACCAGAAGCACTCGCATTGTTCTGACTAACAGCCAACTTTTTGTGAGGTTATTGAGCTCAGTTCACAGAGTTTGTACTAAGCATAGACCTCTATGGACCCAAAGGACTCGTTCAGGATGTTCATATTATGTCCGTGGTCTTGGTCATGCTAGTATTGTCTTATGAGATAGATGACCTTGCTGAGATGTTAGTTCGCGACATGGTTGGCAGCATCCGATTCCGCATCTGTATGTCACTGCGGCCTCCATAGGACAGCCACAAGACGCCTGTGTCTATAGTGGGATCATGGGTGGCTTGCGCTGCACTACCCACAGCTCCGTCCACACACCCCATATCCAGTGTAAACCCGAAGGAATAATACCGGGGGCATGTGGATGGGAGCCACGCTTCATTTACGGAGCCGGCCCACACACCTTTAACACAAACAGCAGCATCATTCCTGTCTATGTAATTTGGGAATCATGTGTATCAGACGGACACAAGGCGGTGGCTGGGAAGTAGTTCGCTCCACCCTGGAGGCATGGAAACACTCTTTGTCTAGCAGGGACCACGATGACCGTGCACCCCGTCCCCCAAGCAATGATTAGCCGTGTCCTGGAGCCAGTATATAATGAGGTGGAAGGTAATAGACAGGTGGGCACCTAGTCAGCATTCATATTAAGCACAGCCACACAGCGGATATTGATCGACAACCGACCCCTGAAATGAAAGTGACTCAACACGCAGGAACTTATAGACCAACTGTAACCATGATGTGGTGCAATTACCACATCAACCGGCTTATTGGCCTGGGTTAGTAAATCGAATGGATGCGGACGCAGCGCACCTAACAACCGCTGTGCTGATTATGCTTAGCTACTCAGTTGACTCTTTGTCTTCTGGATGCCCCGCGTGGTAACGATGGTGGTTTACCAAACCTGTTTGGCTCAGACACTCGCAACTGCATGTGCTACAGCACCATGCGATCGACGTCCATAGGGTAGACTCCATCGTTGCCCGTCCCTTCCGTACACAACGTTTCTCTTCAGCATGTAATAGTGCTTTCTTCTGCACCTGAGTAACTGCCCTGTGGATCCGTTCAAACCATGTGAGCCGAGCAACTGTCTTTGATTCCTAACAGCGGAAAGCAACATTAGTTCGTGATGGAACAATAAAACAGTGGAACAATGGTCTTATACGGGTAAGAATGCTGTAGCTAAACAGGTCCCGCAAGATGATCATGGTGAAAACGCAAAATATAGGAAAAATTGTCAGCAAATTAAGGTTCACACCAATGGACTCACCGAGGTATTAGTACGTACAAATCCATCATAATTCATGTTCGATAACACACATGTGTATCTGTTTGCACACACATATGTATCCGTTTAGAACGACTTCAAGAGAGCTGGAGAGCACAATATTTTTCTGCGTCCTGTTGTCAATAAGTGAACAGAAACCAAATCTGACAATGCAGGTGTTGTAATGAATCGTCAAGTCGTTTTTAAAAACGGGTAACGTGGGTGCCGAAATGACAAAAGTCGAAAGAGCGTTTCAGGATTGATAAATTCGAAGAGAAAAATAGTTCTGGCGGCATTCCAGCCGCCTGTATTGCCTATACGGTTTCAGCTGGTTACCCCACAATTTTGTGTTGCGGCTTAATTTCAGGAGGTGGCGGCAAGCATGACCGGGGTTTTTAAGATATGGAACGTCAGAATGAGGTCGTCCCGTAGACGGCAATAACCTCCGCTATACACTGCTAAAGTTTTCAGTCGCAGACGGTACGGCAGGTGGAGCATTCCCTTGGTTGCCCTTCGCTGTGCGGTATCCAGTGCAACCAGATCGCGTTTTAACTAGGGTTGCCAGAACTGAATCGCGTACTCCACATGGGGTCTCACATACGCATTGAGTATTTGGGGGAATATGGAGGGGGGAACCGTTCGAACGCCCTCCGTAAGGGACCAAGGTATTATTTAGCGATTTTGGACACCTTCAAAGACTGCGCCAGACAGCCGAGGTTGTCTTGCATCACCACCCTAAGATCACGCTTGGTCTCTAATCTTTTTATACGTCAGTGGGTTTGTGGCGTACCTGTACAGTCTTGCACTTGTCCGCGTTAAACGGAACTAGATTTGCTTTGACCTTTCAAATGTACGATCTGAGTCTCACTGCAGCACCTCGTGATCGTCCTGACAACCAATAGCCGATGAAGTCCAGGAATAGGTCCGGCCCTAACACCGGTCCCTGTGGGACACCGCAGTCCACGTCGATGGGATCAGAAAATGAACCTCTAACCCGAACCTGAAGCGCCGCTGAAGCAGGAAATTTTCGATCCATCCAATGACTGGGTTCTCAATTCCGTATGTATGCAGCTTTTGGAGAAGGATTCGGTGATCTAAGCGGTCGAAGGCTTTAGAAAAGTCGAGGTAAATGACATCAGTGCCGGTCCCACCGTCGGCTTTTTCGGTTCAAAGTCTACGCGCAATCAGGAGATTGGTTTGTACAGGACCAATGCTGACGAAATCCGTGTTGTTCCTGTGACATGATGATAAACCTTTCAAAGTAGCTCATTAGAGCATCAGCTATGATTGACTCCATAACTTTGAGAGCACCGGGAGTAGAATCGCTGGGCGATAGTTGACGGCCTCCAAAGGGCTACCACCCTTGAAAATTGGGGTGATGATACCCTGCTTCCAAAGGTTGGGGACTTGCTGTTCATTCAGGCATTTTTGGAAAAATCGAGCTACTGGCTCAGCTATCCTCGTAGCTGTCACATGAAATGCTTTTGGGGGAGTGTTAGAAACACCGGGCGAAGTATGGGTAGGTAACGATATCAAGTTCCTCAAAACGGTCGCTGAACTAAACGTGACGTGTATGCATACTGGCGTCTGGGGGAATGGGACAGGTATGTGACATATGCTGGTGGCGCATCGGAATATTGAAGCATATTGCCGACGTAGAACATTGGCTGCATCCCCGGCAGTTTCAGCACATCCATTTGCAGAGGTAAGCGGGAGAACACCACACGTCATATTCCGGAGGCTGTTCACATGTTTATGCAGAAGCTTGTTGTTAGCGCAAAACCTTTCTGCTAAGATCTGCTGATAAACTAATTTGTCCTCGCGTACAAGTTTGGTACAGTGATTACGATGCATTACACAATAGCTCCTCTTTTCAGGGTTAGGGTTGGCCCGGTACACATGCCACGCTGCGTCTCTTAACGCCATGAGTTTTCGGGTTCTGCTCCTAATGATTGGGTGCTCTTGTTGAACGACTGAGACTGTTTACGGATGCGGATTTAATCAGATGGCTAAACTTGCCAGCAAACTCCGTCCATGGAGCAGTTGTCCGAAAAATCCCAACTGGCATCCCCAAAAAGTTCTGTGAGTGTGTGGTAATGTGGGATTGTTCTAAACAAGTCACTATGTTCTTTTGGTTATTCCGCATAACACACATAGTCTAAGGTATTGCTATGTGATCATTTCGCCTCAGGGCTCTTTATCTTTGGTTTCTCCATCATGAGCTCTTTGTTCGTGAGTACCAGATCTAACACAGATGGCTTATTTCCCGTTCTGAACCTGGTGGGCGAACTGACATGGCTGAAGAGTGGAATGCTTGCAATAAGCTCTTGCAGGTCTGCCTTGAATTGTTCGTTGGGCGAAGCCGGAACTTCCAACTCGTGAACATTGAAGTCACTGGAGATGAGAACATGGCTGTATCGTTGTCGAAGTACCCTCCCCAGTAAGAATGTCAGCGGGAGTCCATCTCTGGGGTGGATTTTGGGGGACGATAAACAACTGCCAAAAGACAGGTGTCGTTGCGCCTTAGTCGTAGACTGCACCAGAGCGAGGCCATGAGCAGCGTTTCCTGATCGTCCATCGGTTCGCACTTCAGATCATTATGGTAGTGTAAAATTACCCCACCGGCCTTACAGGGGAGAGTGTTTCGAGTGAGGGACATGTCATATAGCTCAAATTCGGCGTGGTGATTTCTGAATGCAGCCCTGTTTCCGTTATGAAGATGAGATCCCAGGTGTATGATGCCTGATGTAGCCGCAGTGCGGCAAGCTTGCTCAGTAGACCTTGTGCATTGGAGTACACGCAGGCAAGTTTCTCTGTCCTTAGCAATGAGTGGTGGGATGTGCGTTTTGGGTATGCTGTTGTGCCGACCGGTGAAACGTCGGCAACTAATTGTTGTTTTGGGTTGAGTGATGACGAACTCATCTGTGTCAGGTCCAGAGATCCCGCTATTACATCTATGCTCTTCGCTTTATATGTAGTGTATGAGGTGTATTTACCAGTTTCATTGGCTAGCTGAGTGAAGCTATCCGAACTGTTACTTAGAGGTGGTCCGACTAAGTGACTGCTTTTGTGTGTTTGTTTATGGGAAACTGCTTTGATCCGGAGCTCGGAAGGAAAGCTGCTACGTCCTGCATACCAGATGTCTAACATCCTAGCTGACCTTTGTCTCGATTATAGCACCACTTTCACAATCCTCAGGCCATTTCCTTTGTAATTTGGCTACCTGTGTAGCCTTGAGATCGACTGCGTTATGATATTTTCCAGGGACAGGTCTCTCGTATGTATCGCCAATGCTCTTGGTCGTGAGAGGTCGCTTTGCGCTCATCATGACGTCCAGCTTCGGGAACACTGTGTAAAAGGATGGTCCTAGCCACGGATTCCTTTCCGTGTTCTTCCAAATTATGCTTCGCCTGCTTGCGCTCACTCCACAGTATATCCGGAAAGATGCGGATGGAAGGTGACATATTCCGAAGGCGCCGTGTCGATAACAGAATAGCTTCCGCTTCATCAGCGGAAGTCAATAGAGCGCGGGACATTCTCGATTCACCGTAGTACTTTGAGTTTGAGTGACGCATGATCCGTTTCAATTTGGCGGGCCTAACTACAACACCTACGATGTCACATGTGGAGTTCAACCTCGATCATGTCATGGCAACATAACTTCTATTTTCTAACATGCCACTTTCCAGCAATAAGTTGTCCAGATGAGAGCTGTTCGGGTATCCGCGTCGAATCCATACGGTTGATACGCTTGATCTATCTCAGGTGCCGTAGCAGAAGTACGCAGTTCACTGCATACACGCCACTCTAACACAGCATTTTTGTGTCTGCAACTTTGTCACACCAATCGATGCGCAGAACCCGTCGCAGCCATTGTTGATGAAACCGCTCCAGATATCTGACGTCCTTCCGGTACATCATCCAGGTTTCACTGCCGTGTAGAAGAACATACCATCCACTTGTATACCATCATTTTCGTCCCAACCGTAAGCGAATGATTGTTCCACACACGTTTTCCCAGCTTTCGAAATGCGGCAGCCGCCATCGATACACGGATGCGCAGCTCGCTGGTCATCTACAGGCCGGTAGGCACTACGTTTCCTAGGTAACAAAATCGAAAGGGTTTCCAAGAAGTCCTTGCCAGTGTGAATTTGTGGCAGACCCATGAATTACATTGACGGTGTAAGCATGCGTTACTATACTATACACTGCAGAGAACCGTATACTGGTTACCAAATAAGCACCTTGGTCACCAGCCCAATGGGACCAGTTAACAGCGTTTGCGGTGACAGTGGCTATAAATTCCAGTCATATTTTCAGGTTTCAGCACTGCAATTCCGTGTTTTAGAAAACTCGTAATAGGAATGGAGCTGTCCTTGGGAAGCGTATAACACTCTCCACATGTCCGCTCGCTCTCTTTCATGAATAATCACTCACTGAGCTGTTAACTCTGATCGGTGGCGATCACTGCAAGTGATTCAGTGGGCGGAGCGGATCTCACTTGAATCGGATTAGAAATTGAATAGACAGGAAAGTTTGCCATAGGCTCAACATCGATCCTGGCGTAATTCAGTGGCTCGCAGCTTGCGTACTTCAGACATGTGGTAAGCAGTGTGCGAATGTCGAATGGTGACTAAGACAACCGTGAGCACAGTAACATGGCAACATGGGCGGGAATGGTTCTTTCAACCTTGGCTCACTAACCATGTAAGAACATTTTGGGGAGCTGGATGCTGTCGGCATGGTCATTTAATGTGCTTAGTACAACGTTGACGCCGGCGGGCTTGTCTTCTCGAAAGGGCAACGTGGCAGAGATGGCCACTGAATCGCTTTCACGGCTAGCCATCGACCGGTTGTATTTTAGTACCATTGGTAGACTAGCTACACTGGGCTCCCAAGTGTTTGATGGTAAGGGCGTGCTCCCATTGATGATGCTATTATACAAAACGGCTAATGATTTTAGTATTTCTGGAGTCACTTACTGGTGCTTTGCGTGTCGCTTCAATAGTTTCACGATTTTGTTGACCTCTGGTGTATGTGAAGGACAGATAGCAAAAAGTAAGCTCATCAACTATATTACTTTGCCGCCCTGCATAAGAAGCGTAATAGGATCCAGCCAAACTACATACTCCCTTTTGTAATAAGTTCGACATCCTCCTGACCTATTGGAGACACGACAAAGTACCACTTTTGTTTGTGACACCCACTGCTTTCTGGAGAGCTGTCCCTGGTTCACTCGCGGTGTTTGCAGTTCAAAGTCCCTCAGGAAGATTCTACACCCTGCAAAGCCAGGATCCGTGCAGCATGCCTTTAGTTTTCTAATACACCTAATATACCTAAAAGTAGCAATATTCAGTGTTCGTTGAGCCCATACCGGACACAGAATACTACCCCAACTCAATGTTACAGTGTTCATCGAGAAGTGCGGCTAACTTAATGTTCTCAACTATCACAGATTTGCCACAGCCTGTTCCCTATCGAGGAGAATTCTGAGTAGCACCGTCGACATCCGTGATGGGCATAAGTTGCTTGCATTTTCGCTCCCTGTTACAGGCTACTGGACATATTGGCTGGTCGCAAAGACCCACGGTTTCTTTCTGGCCAAGTCCTAGTCGATGGATATCCTCAACCGAAAAACTTCAAATGCATTTCCGGATACGTCGTTCAGGTAGGTGCTACCTAGATCCTCATCTACACAGGGTATCCGTATTGTTATTAGTAGTAGTGGTAATTATAGTAATGTTGACAGCCGTAGTTTGAAGCTAGTCCAATGATGAATTGTTTTCTCCATCCATCCGCTACATTTGTCCACTTATTGACGTTCTTGTTTTCTTTCACTGTTACTCGTTGCTCCCACACCAGGATGACATCGTTATGGGCACCCTAACTGTAAGGGAAAATCTCAACTTTTCCGCTGCCCTTCGCATGACAGGCCGATGTTCACGGCAGGAACGGCGCAGGAAAGTGGAGGAGCTAATCGAGGAGCTGGGCCTGACTAGTGTAGCTGATAGCAAGGTGAGTCGCTCATGAAACCGATCCTACTTTTTATCCATTTTGAAAACATAACGAAATGAATCCGATAAATGTGTGTGCAAGCTACTGCCACCTTTGTTGAGCTTCACATAGCATTACCGTTTTCCCGGAATTGTCTCTGGGCGCTGCTATTACTTACTCGGTGAAACTACGAAGGTTATAGAAAACGGCTCAAGTAGAGAGGTTGCACTTTGGATCACAAAGAATTTCCTTGTGGCCTACAGTGCATTCCGTTAAATTTACTTCAACGTATTACCTAGCTCTAAATTTAAAGCTCTCAAGCAGCTTTTAAACTTGTTTGCTCAATTACAGTTTTTCCAATCATTTAATCCACATGACCGGACTTAGTCCTCCTTACCATTAGGACGCGCTGCTTTTCTGTTATTTTAACTCTATACAATGTTGGGTCAACAGGTTTAATACTGTGCCATAAACGATCATCAGAACAAGTTTTCTGACTCTTTTTCTTAAAGCCATATTCACATGCGTGTGCCGAGCATAAACGAAATTCTGTTAGTTACTAATGGTTTATCGTTCCATGAGAATGCAGAGCCCCGCATGGTAACACTGCAACTTGTTCAATTTAGCACGCAGAATACACCGAAGAGGTCGATCTCTGTATTACCATATCGGATTAGGCCTAATTGATTCATTGGTTCATTGGTGTGTAGAGAGCAGGAGGGGAGACCCTTGTCCGCTCCGCGGATTCCGATTCAGTGCAGGTTTGACGCAACTGTCTGCGAAGCGGCATTCCTCTGGGGATCGTCGCCGTTGCAGTAGGAGCAACAGAGCCCTGCCGTACTCATCAGATGGCAGTCAAGCAGCCGTTTGAAACTTTCTTCTGTCGGTGCATCAGCAATGATCTCCGGTAGGCTGTTCCAATCATTCACTACACGAATTGATAGGACAGCCTCTGGACGTACGCGAAGTATTCGGCTCTTGTACAACGTCCGCTTGTGGCCTCGTGTCGAGCCGTCCATTTTGAGCCGAAAGTTCTTTTGTACCTCACTAACAAGTTGTCCTCTTAGGATCCGTCTAGTGTAGATAAGATCTCCACGACGCCGACGGTAATCCATTGGGAATATGTCCAGCTTCCTGAGTCGAAGAGGGTAGGCAAGACCACGAAGCTCCATGACGGATTTCGAGCCACACCTCTGAACTCTTTCTAGGAAGTTGCATTCAGGTTTTAAGAGAGGATAGGCAGCTGGAAACCCATACTCCAATATCGGGCGGATATATGATGTGGACCAGGTTCTGAAAATTGTCGGAGTGATACGGGAGAACGACCTCCGTAGAGCACTCAGCATCCTGTTTGCGCCCGCGACGTTTCTCAGAGTGTCTTGGGAAGTTTTAAGGTTGTATTACACGATAACCTCCAGATCCTTCTCGTGCAGAACATTCTTGAGAAGATATCAACCAATGTGGTATACAACGAATGAATCTGGGTTACCAATCAGAAGAATAGCACATTTGTCGTAGTTAACGGGCAGTTGCTACTTGACGGACCAATCGTGCAGCTGCTCCAGAGCCGTTTTGGGTCTGTCCGCGTCCTCAAGACTAGCTACTTCTGACCATAGCTTGAAATCATCAACGTAGACTAAGCAGTCGGCTTGAAGAGCTGCAGAGAGGTAATTATTGTAGAGCCTGAAAAGTTCCGGCCCAAGGACAGAGCCTTGTGGGACTCCGCTAGTCATAGACACAGAGCCAGACAGCGTTTGGTTCACCTTCACTTGAAGAGTCCGATCTCTCAGGAAGTCTGCAACCCATGAAGGGACGTTACCGGTGACACCAATTCCATGGAGTTTGAGCAGAAGTTCTTTGTGTGGGACTTTGTCAAATGTTTTGATAAAGTCAATGTAGATAACATCTAAGTGTTTCTAGTCGTCTACCGCTTTGACCCGTGCTTCTCCGGCAACAATCAGGTTAGAGATGCAGAAGCGAGCCCTGCGGAACCCTTACTGAGCGAGGGAGATGGCGCATGGGCTTTCGCAGTGGGTTTGGAGGGCGCGCTTGACGATCCTTTTCATGAGCTTGCAGATCACAGACGTCAGGCATAGCGGTCGATAGTTTGCAGGATCGTGCCGGTTCCCACCTTTGTATTTAGGTATTACAACCCCTACTTTTCAGTCAGGTGGTAGGCGCCCGTCTGCAAGAGAACACCGGAAAACTTAACGTTTCGGATCACTAATCTATTCTGCTACCGTCTTGAGGAATAGCAGGGGAAGTCCATCGAGACCCGATGTGGAGTTAGGGTTCAATTCAAGGAATTGATTTCGACTTGCTCTAGAGGAGGATAATGCGTTGTCAGATCGACAGTGGGTAGTGACAGTTCCACGGAGAAGATCGAGGAGTACTGCAAGGCTAGTAAGTGAACCTTCTCGTCATCTTCATAGAGCATTGTGTCCTCCTGCTGGCAAGATAGAGCAGGGATACCACTGCCAGCCTTGGTGTTTTGCTTCAGATACGAGAACAGCTTCTTTGAGCAGGTACGTGGTTGTATAGACTAGGCTGTGTTCGTATCGTGCTCATTTCTGACGCTTCCTTAGAGTGCACAGATTTCTGATCACTTTGTACTTCGAGTAATCTGACATTACCTGTGTTTACTTGAATATGTTCCACAGTTTGCGTCGTCTGTTCATCAGGGATCTCACCTCTCGGTCGATGCAGGGGGCCTTTGGGGATAGGTCTGCCCTTGGGGATAGGAACAAGTTTTACGATGACCGACATCATCTTCGAGCGTAGTAAGTTCCGAGCTTCATCAAGATTCAGGGATTGTGGAATGGTCCAGTCTGTGGTGCTTGTCACTTCTTGTAATCTGGATGGGACAACACGCCTGGACAAACATCTACCCTTGTTCTACTCTTCTTTACGGCAGATTGCTGTTATTATTTGAACCGTACGCATTGTAGCAGTAGTGAAAAGTTGTGGGAACTAGCCCAACAACACATACATTACGACAGCACAGTGATGCTTGTTCACACGCGTTCTACACCAAAACATGCAGTCCCTAGGTTCACTGACCGTCCCAAATTTATGCAGCCAACCCCATAAAATGTCAACAGTGACCGGAAATTCTGAGCCCGAGAAAGCACCACAGCACTCGGACAAGAGTAACGGGGCTTGAAAATTGGTTTAACTTCGTTCACTAACAGACCAAAATAGTTTGAGATTATTTCACTGAATGATCGACGTCTGTTTATACTGAATCTCGGTCCCAGCCGCTTACCTAAGAGGATGATAGACATTCTGGGCTCTGCAATACAGTATGGCGTGTCTTAGTTGTGGAAGGATGGAGGTCAACATCAACCTTGCTTTGTATGTATATATGTATAAGATGTAACTACGGGATGCATCAACAATTTAAGTTATGCCCACGTTGAACTTGACGATGAAATGCTAAGCAGTGTCTGTCAAAGGTAACAAGTTCTACCAATCAGACTCAAATTAGTTACGCACTACCCCTAGCGTAGCCGACTAATTCACACAGCACATGCGTATCCGATGAGGAAACTAATCAACCCTGGTAACTCTGCTACCCGGTAACTTTACTTCTCTGTACGCACTTTTATATGCACTTAATCCATATTCAGGATGCCTCACTTTATCGGAATCTTCGATCATAAAGAATGGCTGTGCCAGAGTAATCCAATGCAAAGCGCAAAGCAACGACTACGTTTTCCTCCAGTTTAAAATAAGTCAGTGGTACATGCATTGCAACGGTTTGTATGAAATGTTATGGTAGTAAACGGAAGGTTTTCGCTCTCTTGGTTGAAGCATTTATCACCTTGAATTCGGCAGCCCGGTTGCCTTGGCAACTGCACCGTAAATGGGGTCCGTTGCCATCTTTGAGGGCCAGTGAACACTGAGTACTGGAGTGTTATAAGAAAAGTAATAATAGTAATAATATATTCTGTTTCACCAGATATTCTCTTCACGTCACGATCAATTTTTTCGCAATTATTCCGCCTGATATCCGCAACATAGTATAACTGTTATGGAGAAATAGAGACCAATTTATCCGTGATGGTTCACCAGTTTGATGGATGCAGAATACTTCGTAGATTCTGAAAGCTCTGTCTACGGACAGAACCGGCTTTTATTTTCCTTTGATTGAAGAAAGAAAAACTATTGTGTGGCGACAGCAGGAACATTAAAACTCTATTTCAAATTATAGAAGTTAGCAGCCGATTCGGACAAAGTTTTCCTACACATTGGGGGGTTCTAAAATGGGGTAATGAAAGACGAAGGCATTTATATATTTTCAGCTTAGTAGCTATACATGACGACCGGGATAACCATGAGATTGGTTAGCGGTATGTGAGCTGGACGTCATTAGCATTATCCAACCTGCACACGTAAGCCAGGCATTTGAGAGTAAGAGATAAAACGGGAGAAAATGTTGGGGAATACAGATTAAGCTTTAGGTAGCCGAATCGGTTAGTTTCTCCTTACCGCCTGATGTGTTTGCATAAAGGTTGTTAGGGAAACATGGCCGAGTAAAATAAGTCGAGTGAAAAACGGCCATGAAGATAGGTTGATACAGCCATCAATTCTTTCTCAAGTCACAATATTTGGTATGGTCGTAAGGTAGGCGTGGCTGGGTAAGCAGAACGCTAACATCTGGACACTAACATTGGGTAGCTCAATCTCAGTTTGCAATTCCTCTACAGTCCACAGTTGTTGGTACGCCTGTGAAGTATGCTTTCCTGATTAAAGAAGCAAAGAGCGTCGGATGAAAAATAATGAAGGGGATTCTGCCAACTTCCTCTTTTTTAATGCACTTCTTAGGGACGGCCTGATCAAGTAAATACTGCACGTGGAACATTTTGTGTTTACCTGTAATCAGTACACCTATGTCTCGGCCCCTTCTCCAAACAGTATTTTTTAGTGCAATTTCATCGCAACATTGTTCTTATGTATTGCACTGTTGAACAGTTGGAACAGCCCTTTTGAACACTGGTTTCGATTCACAGGTTCTTATT